TTAACAAATCACAAAAAACAAATTGAGAACTTTGGTGTATGAAAAATGAACATACAGAACAAATTCAAAATTCATATATCTTTTAAATTCTGGAATCATGTTCCTTCTAAGATCTAAAAGAGATATTTAGTTTTTAGCCTTTAGCTAATATGAACTTATGTCACTACTTTGTAATGCCAAAGAAATCCTCACCCTGGTTAAAATTGTTCCCACTTTATTAGAAATAAGAAACAACAGCCTAAATCACATAGAGCATGATAACCACAAACATAATACCTCTTGTTATCAAATAGATAATATCATTTTAGTCTTTGGGAATTATGTTCATTATCAAAGCAAGCTAAAGATAATTTGTGAATAGCGATAATGTTGGAATCATCAATCCACATAAATAGGAACTTAATCTAGCTCTCCAGTAATTTTTTGGCTTGTTTTAGGCTTTCAATTAATTGAATTTTATCTAATTTTTTAGCTTGTTTTCATTATGTAAGAAACTATAATAGTGATAGATTTAAGATAATGTCCAATGTAATGTCGTATGCATGCATTCGTTGAGGCTAAAATGCTACAAAAGTAGCATTATATAAGATGTTAACAATAAAAAATAATAACTAATAATGAAAAGTGCAGCCAACAATAGGATTTCAATTACAAAAGTTATCTGAACTTTTAAATGGGTCTAGTTGTAAACCATTGAATTTTAAACCATTCAATAGGTAAGCTTCCCTCATTTTCTCTTTTCATTATCCATAGCTAGCTTTTAGTTAAACATCATTTTACCTAGGTTAGTCAAAATAAAAAATAAAAAAGTAACTCATAACAACATCATCAACTATAAAATCACATAAAAATTCACATTTAAAATTATTTTTCACTATACATTACATCCATTTAGCAATGTGATTACATTAATAACAATCTCAAAACCCAAATTATTATTATAGTATTAAAAGTTTAAAACAAAATATAAAATGGTCCAAAATGGAGTCACATGTTTTAACAGTACTTTAGATTTTTTAGGTTAAATGATAAAAAATGCCATTGAACTATAATTTAATAATAATTTAAGCTTTAATATTTTATTATAATCAATTAAGCTCTTAATATTCTATTTCAAAACAATTGAATCCTTAAATAGACGATATCTAGTTACATGACAAAATTTAATCAATTAATTTTTGAACTAATTTAATTAAAAATTTATAATGATCTCAAAGAGATAGATAAAAATAATAGAGAAGAAAAAAGAAAAAGGATTATTTTTATTAATTTTCACATATTAATTACGTCATGTGGTAAACTTTTATCTATTTAATTGATGTCACATGGAATTTTTATCTTAGTTGACAAAAAAAATTAATGGTGTTAACTTTATCATCCAAATAAGAGCTTAAATGGAAGCAAATAAATGTTTGAGAGGTTGATTGATTAAAATTAAAAAAAAAAAAAGACTTAGGTGATTTTTTATTTATAGTTCAAGGGCTTTTTATACCTTTTAGTAATTTTTTTTATTAGAACAAATTTTTAGATTTGTTCTTTCTTCTCTTTAATATATAATAAATAATAGAAATACAAAAAATTTAAGGATTTATAACCTCAACATCTATATGATAAAAAGGAAAAAAAATCCAGATTCAAAAAGATTAGTCTAACTAATGAGTTACCAAACACAAATTCATGTTTAAATATTTTTAGAACCATTTTACTCTTAAAAAATAACCAATTTTCTTAGTTGAATTTAATTTTAGTGGAGTTGATTTTTTAGTGGAATTATAAAAAAAGATAATAACTTTCGAGGATCTAATCTAGATGAGGCATAATATCTAAAACTTGACAAAATCCCACTTAAAACAAAACACTAAAAAATAAAATAAGGTTAATTTTGGATGCTTACCGCAGAATGAAATAAGATTAAGACAACAAAAGTATTAGAATCAAGGCGAACATCCTCTAATTGAGCCATGGTGTTATAAATCTCTTTAATTAAGATTTATTTCAACAAAATTTATATAATGAGGGCAACTTTTTCACCAGATCCAAAGTATCTTCAAAATCTCAGAAATATACCAATAAACATAGTATATGTAGTATGCTTATAAAGGGACAATGACCTAGATATATTTGCTTCCAAGTCCCAACATTATATTTCCTAATATATCAATATGCATTCTAAGGAAAAAAATGACTTAGTTTCTACACAACAAAAAAGTGCAACAATGTTTTGTGGTGAAGAGAACGGATTACCAATTTTAGGTATAAAAATGACAATCCTTCCTTTCTCCAAATGCTTCATAGCCTTTATATATATATATAGCAAACAACTATATTTGGCAACATCCACTATATGAAATGATTTAGACAATATTTGAAATAGTGAATTAACCATGCTTTTTTTTTCCATGTTCTCATTTCTCCTCCCATCTTTTTCACTAAAATAAATTTAACTAATGACAAGGCACCTTTGTGTATTATATGCAAATGAAAATATTAGAAAAAAAAATTACATAAGCTAGAAAAAAAAAAGTTTTTTCTTCCTTTTCCTATTTTTTTCTTTTTTCTTTCCTCCATTCATTTTTCATCTTTATCATCAAAAAACATTTCATCATTCATCGTCGTATGATTTGGTGTTTTTGTTGTTAATTTAGTCTGTTATGAGTAAATCAAAGGATAAATGTTCATTATCTTTTTTTTTTCTTTATTTCCCTTCCTTTTCTTTTATTTTTCTCTTTCCACCTCAAACTGTTCATCTTCTTTCTGTTCTTCCCATCCTCTACCTTTTCTTCTTCCTCACTTTCTTCTTTTTGGTTTTTTCCCTTTTTCCTACTTCTCTTCCTTTCTACCTATTCTCCCTTCTTTAATTCTCCATTCTCCAAAAGCTTTCTACCATTTCTTTTTCTTTTTTTTTAAAGTGTTTCTATTTGCACCTTTATTATTTCCCATCACACCTTTTTTTTTTTTAAAGGGAGTTTCTATTTACACCTTAAGATTTGCTTTATACAATTTTTAGTACAAAAATATGTCTAAATAAAATTACTTAATTAATCTTTAATAAATTACCTTTCAATCCTTCCATACATCTATTCATTCTCTTCTTTATTTTCTTTTTTTCTTCTTTTCTTCTTCTCTTTTTTATCTCCATAACAAATCTAGACCATTATAACTATTATTATTCTCTCGTACATCATGAAAAATGCATACCTAGAATGTAAAAAGAAATTGATCAAGATGAAGAGTGATAAATAAACTATTAAAACTATAAAAAAATTTGCATTTCTAAAAGCTTCTAGATTTATATTTTTAGAAACTTTTAAAAGTTTTCAAATTTACATATTTGAAAACTTTTAACAGCTTTTGGATTTACATATCCAAAACTTCTAAAAACTTTCTAATTTGCATATACAAATTCGAAAACTTGTAATGTTATATGGAAAAGCATTTTTGTAAGTCACATTTTTATACAAAACACTAATATAGCTTACGGTATTTAAACTCATTCAATCACAAAAAAATAAAAAAATTATCTCCATGTTCGAAAGGATAATTTGAAATAATCTCCTTTTAAACTTGAGATTGTTAGTATTGATTCAACTAATAATTGAATGAGGAAAAGAAGTCATTTAAGGTTGGATTAATTTAAAGTATAGGAATGAGAGAATGAGGATAATAAAAGAATTGTAAATTTTGGATGTGAAAGTAAAAATAATTTTCTTGAGTTTGAATTTGGGGTATCAAAAGAAATATGATGTATAGAGCAAACTTGGAGGTGCAAATAGAATTTTCATTTTTAAAATTATTTTTAAATGAAATTATTTAATTACTTTTTTTTCAAACTAATCTTTCCCATTTTAAGTTTTCAGATTTACAAATTCGAAAATTTTTAAAATCCTTCGGATTTTCAAATCCCTAAACCTTAAACTTAAATGTAATTTTTAAAAAACTTATCATGTACAACTTACTGAATTTTCATATCTTGTAAGTTTTATAATTTACTAAATTTTCATATCCGAAAAATTATAAAACTTACCAAACACACATATCCAAAAACTTTTAACACTAGGATTATAAACAATAAATAAGCAATTTCATTTAAAAATAATTTAAAAAAAAAGCATAAAATATAAAAATTGAGTGTAGAAATAGAAACCCTTTTTTTTTTTTTTAATTCAATGAAAGCTAGTAAAAACCTTTATTGCCCTCAACATTTCATAAAATTTCTTTAGCTTTTTATGTGTCTACCAAATAAATGTCTAAAGTGAATATATATATATATACACATTAATATAAGAGTTAAATTTTTTTTTTACTTTTAAATTAAAAGTAAATCTATAATACTTATACTTAACCATTTTGATTTAAGTAAAACAAATAAAAAAAATGTAACTGATACAAGAATATAAGAGAATCCCTCCTTATATATATATATATATAGGGAAGATTAACTTACACAATATAAAATTAAAAAGTTTTATATATTGCTTTAATTTTTTATTTTAATAGATTTAAAAGATAAAAATAAATAAAAATAAAAACTTTAAATATATTAAAATTAATGATTAAAAAAAATATAAAACTAAAAAAATTTACACTATAAATTCATCCCTCTTCATAAATATGTATATAAATAATCGGTGCGGTGCTTTTGACAAGTAGCGCGTCTCTTTTAAATCGTTTACTATAACACTAGAAGAATCACTGCTAGCCTACTTTAATAACCCAAAACACAGACATTTATGTCATTGCGGCTCTGTTGGACTTTTAACACTATATATGGATTTATCACCACCAACATAAAGAGGTTGCAACAGTAGACATGAAGGAGCAGAGAGAACCTTTTCGGGGCCTCCCCGTCCCTACTTGTTCTTCATAAATTAATAAAAAAGAGGCATTAGTCACAGGCATTTCGTCTTTTGGGGCTAACAACATGAGCAAAATTTGATACTTTAGCCATTGTTTTTCATTGTATATTACTATACAGCAAAAATTCTGGGAAGCATGGTTACCTAGGGGTCAAAGCCATAGTTGCTTTGCACTGGCACTATGCGACCATTTTTCTGTAGAGCATCGGGAAAAGGAGCTTGGCAGTTTCTGATATGTGATTTTAGCCTGGGTATTGTAGGGTGCGCACTTCTACACCGGTGGCAACACAGCTCCATCGACAACAGTCTGCTATCATCTTGTAACGTTGCTTTTCCATGATTACTAGCTTCCTCAATTACATCTAAAGAATCACGGAAAAAAGCAGTATTGAAAGAGTTCCAATGCTTCTTATTCTGCAGGTGTTGGGAGTCAAAATCTTGGCTAATAACACGCAGGTGCAGCTGTCGCATCGAAGGGACCCGCAGAAGGAGACAAGCAAGAAACCATATTTTCAATTGGCGTTTTCCAATATTCACCAATCATTGAAGATTGGAAGATGAAGTATACACAGACCGATACACACGGGTACATCGATCGCAATCAGAAGCGTAGAATGCCAGATTCTCCTACTCTCATGACCATAATATCCTATTCTTAAACTTTTTCATGAATGTTAAACAATTTTCATAGAATCCTTTAGCTATCAGTATTTAGTACTTCATCCATAACTATATTAGGCCACAACAACAACTCTGTTTCACATCTACAAGACTAAAACCTCTTTTGGTCTTTCCTCAACCACTGCATCTGCATGTACACATCATGTTGCTATTTCTGGCCACAGCGACTGGATATTGCATAAAGGTGAATCTCATCAAAAGATTCCATTGTTTGGTACTCCAACAACTTCTGGATTCATTCAAATCTTAGGTCTACAAGAGGTGGTGCATGCAACTAAGGTTCATTTCGTGCTAAATATGTTCATAGCAAAGGATAAAATGCCCAATAGGAGGAAACACCATGACTAACTGCTTGCAATTTCCAAGACTGAGTTTCAGTCTTACACTGAGAGTTGCATTTAAGTTTATTGGACCTAAAACTGTGAAAACAAAAACAAAAGAAGGAAAGGTGTTTAGCATACCGAGTGATATCCAAGGCGGAAGACCAATGAATCATCTTCATGCAAGAACTTATCAGCCCACTTCAAACCACTTCATACATTGTCAGTAACAACTGCGGGTGTTCTTTACGTGCATCTGCCAAGCAAACAAGACCTTGAAATCTAGCCAACACCAAAAGATGCCGTTTTGCCTGCAAAAAGGAAAAAAAATCCATCCCTCCATTTGTTGAAAATTATCCAAAGAGAAGAGAGGCTGGAAGAAGGCAACAGATATTTATCTTGATGCTTCTCATTTAATACAACAATATCATCTAATGCCTCCAGCATTTCATCCTTATACTTCTCAGGCTGCATTGCAATGTTATATAGAGATTGAACCCATGGAGCCCAGGTTTTAGTCATAGTTCCACTAATCTTATCTTCTGGTACTGAAGGAGCTGACAGAATATTTATACTGCTTCTCTTGGGTCTTAGCTATAGATAAAAACCCTTCAAAAAGTGATCAGTATGCATCTTGAAGAGTTTTGCAGCCTTTGATATAGTCATCCGCAAGGCAATTTGGTATCTCTGGGTTCATATTTGGTCCAAGAACATATATTACATGGGTCACTCCTTCCCAACTATAAAAGTGAGAAGTTGAAGGGAGAGGAACAACCACAGTATTTCTAGGGAGAAGAGATACAACCCGATTATTGGTTGCAGCCTCTAGAGGTGGTCCAGCGACATTAAAGATTGCAGCATTCAGACCTCCACCTCCGGGATTCGGGTGCCTGAACAGGATTATCTTTCGGTATACATCCATTAGAAAAAATATATGCATGTGTGAGAAGTAACATGTTTACTCTCAGGAGTATCGGTATTATAAAGCAGGTATGACATATCACATATATCATCCTCACAATGAAAAGAAATACTTTCAGAAATATGCATGTTATTTCAACTAGTGGTGAGATCCTCAAAAAGAAAGAATAGTATAGTAGATTTTGTTCAAAAATTTTTTTATATTAAAATCGATTTCAATTATAAATCGGATCTTGATTGAAAATTTAAATTTTAAGTCAAAAAATTAAAAGCCTAAATTTGTCTTTTTATTTTTAAGTTTAGTATTTTATTTTTGTTTTTATTTCTTCAAAAGAGTCCATCGAACAAAAGTCAACAAAGTCAAAGAAAAAAAATCTAAAAAGCAAAAAAAAAAAGGTGATATTTTGCAAAAGGAAAACCTTGGATTCGACTGAAAGTTGAAAATTCAATAATTGATTGTTTATGGAAATACTTGGCCCCTAATTAATGAAAAAAAGCAAAATAAAAAATAATATATTTTAAGAATTTTTAATAGAATAGGTGGATTCTAGGATTTTTTTTTTCTTGAATTAGGATTTCAATCACGATATAAAGACCTTCACTATGCAATCACAAGGGATAAGCAAGAAGTAATTTGGAAGCAAACACGAGTAATTACAGTAGTTGAAAGTTTTTTTGAATTTGCTTTCTAGTTTTCAAATTCAATTCTGGCTTTTAATATTATGGGTTTTAATTTTGTTCTGAAATTTGATCGTTGAAAATTATTCTAGGTTTTGATCTTTTGGGATTTCTTGAGATTCTAGAATTTGGTGGTTTTTTTTTTTTTGGGAATTGTTTTAGTCTTTTGGGATTTTTAGATTTCTAAGTTCCTTAATTTGATTTTGGTAGAAATTTATGGAAATTTTGGGTTTACTGGGATTTTTATAAAATTTTACTTGAATTTTTAGGTTTTTTTGAATTTTTTTATGAAATTTAAATTTTTTTACGAAATTTATAGTGGTCAGATTCTAAGTTTTTAGGCAATTATGGTTTGAATTTTTTATGTTGAATTTTGGGTTTTTGGCTAGAATTATGGGTTTATTGAATTTCACAATGAAAAGTTCTAAAAAGAGATCAGAGAGAAAATGCTTAGAGAGAGAAGGGGAAGAGGAAGTCTAAACCAAAAGGAGAATTTTTTACTGTTATAGCAGCACGTAATGATGTCATTTGAGGATGCTGGGATCCCCACTTCAACCTAAAATGATTTGCGTATGAACTATCAACCGATCCGACCCTAATCGTAGCTTCTTGCTTTTCTTTTATTTTTTTTATTTTTATTTTGATTTTGATTTTATTTTTGATTTTGATTTTTTTGATTTTTTGGTTTTTTTTTTTGGTTTTCTTGTGTTTTATTTTATTTTATTATTTATTATTATTTTAATTGTCGATTGAAGTAAAAAGGATGAGGAAAAGAGAAAAAAAAACCTTTAGTAAAATTTATATGGTTTTGTTTGTATATTTTCTTTGCATGATTGGATATTTAATTCCATGTGTTTTACATGAATAATATATATATATATATGCATGATGTTTTATTAATGTAATATATTTGCTTGAGTTTGCATAATTTATTACTTAATATTTTATTTATGTGATTTATTATATTTGCATGATTTTTATAATATTCTATTCACATGCTTTTATTATAACATTTTTTACATGAATAATTATAATATATATTTGCATGATGTTTTTGCATGGATTTTATTTTTTTGCATGATATTTTGCATAAATGATTGATTTATATATTTGTATGTTATTGATTTATTTGCATAATTATAATTTATTTAATATTAGTGCATTTTTTTTATGATGTACTACATTTTTTTTATGAAGATATTTAATGAATCCGACGACAAAATTTTTTCAATTAAATAATAAGTTTAGTTTAAATACTCTAGAAATGAAGAAAAAAAATTTTTGGTGAAAGCCTAAATATTTTTTTAATATTTAAATATCAAAATTAATTTAAAAAATCTTTGATTAAGGCTTAAACAAAATAACATGTGACTAATTTGATATCAATTTTGAGTGTTATAAGAGTGCTAAAACTTTCTTTACATGTAATTAACTCTTGAACCTAGTTATATTGATATTGACTAAAATTTTTTTTTTTAAGAACCCTTAGTCAAGCTTAGGTTAACCTTAAAAGGCATAGATTCACATAGGTAACTAATCACACATAGATAAAAAAAAATTGGTGACCGCTCTATAGTTTTTATATCTAGTAAACATATTCTCGAGCTTGAAGGTTATGACAATTTGGTTACTCCGCTAAAAAATTAGAGAGTCAAGCCATTAATTTGTTATACGATATCTTAAATCTTGCTTTGATGGTTTTATTATATGATTATTTGTGATTTTTCATGTGCACTAACCAATTTGCTTATGATTCTTTTATGTGCACTAATTTATTTGTTTATTTTATAGATTTTGATTTTTCATGTGTATTAATTGATTTGATTATTTGGGTTGACATGTTCCTTTACACACATTACACTTTTATTCATGCATAAGTTATAGATTCAAGTTTTATCTTTTTTTTTTAAAAAAATAAGTACCTACATTCTCGTGAGGTGATAACCTTCAATGAATTAATAAAAATTCTCACTCAAATTGAACCATTTCCGTTTAAGTTTATAATTGTGAGAGAGGATTGAGATACCTTATTAGTCTATAATGAATTATTATGTAAAGAACAATTTGTTTTTAAGATAAAAATATAATTGTTTTTAAAAATGTGAAAAAATATATTTTTTAGAATTTAAAAAAGAAAACATTTTAAAGATAAAAATGCAGTTTTTAAATGTTGTATTTGTTGAAAACATAAAAAATATATATTTCAAAATTTAGAAATAAAAAATCTTTATTTAATATTATTACATATAAATTTTAAAATATATTTATTTAATATTATTATACATAAAATTTATTCTATGGACTACATCTTGAGAAATCCTTGAGAAAAAGGTTTACCATCCTTTCAAATCTCCACGTCGATCTTACCTCGAAAATCAATTTGTGTATTTTTTTTTACATAAAGCTAATTAACATTAGAATAATAATTAAAATTTTAAAATTAAATTTGTTAAAAATTTTAAAAATATTTTTTAAAATTATTTAATTTCAATTAAGATAACATTTTCTTCACATATCACATATTATTCATATATTTGTATTATGAATATCACATGTTATTTATATATTATATATTATTCACACGTCAATATTATGAATATCACATATTATTCATATATTTTGAAAGATAATATAATAAAAAATTTTATTAAATAATCTTAAATTCATGTATACTGAATACAAAAATTTTAAATTTCAAAATCAATAAAACCTTAAAATTCACACAATTTTTTTTTCAAAATTACCTTCTTTTTAAATTACTTTTCTTTTTCAAATTCACATACCAAACTCACCCTAAAACTATGGTCCATCTATGAAAAGTAGCATTGAGTTTATTAAATTATCCAATCCTCGACACAAAATACTCAAATTTTACTATTGGAAAATTTCCAAAGCTCAAATTTGTTTTAATTTCGACTCTTGGCTTCAAACTGTCTTGTCAGCTTGGAAATTTTAATACAAAAGTCAGTCAAAGTCTTTGATATGCGGCTTCAATGTGTGTTGTCGGCTTGGAAATTTTGATTTGTATATATTTTTTGAAAGTCACAAACATATTTGATTTAAGTGGAACAAAATCAGTAATTATGTATCGTTCAAAACGTCAGTGAAATTTAAGTATAAAAGTTATTGTTATTATTATTATTATTATTATAAAATGTAATTCTTATTTTTTAAAATAAATATTGGTCATATTCTTATTTATTTATTGAGAATATAACATTTTTTTGTTAAAAATTAGAGAATATAAAATATTACAAGAAAATATAAAATCTTATACTATATTTCACCATTTATCTTAAGTAGTATTTATTATAGAGTGAGCACTCTAAAAATTATAATAATCTTAATATAGTGATTTATTATGATAATGATTTTGGATTATTAACAGTAATTAGATTATTGTATTAGAAAGTGATTTAGTTTTTATACAAAATTGCAAAAATTTTTATCATCAAAGTAAAATGATATGAAAATTAATAATAATCAATTTTATTAATTTAATATGTGAATTAAAAACTTGTTATATTTTAAATTGTAATTATTTTATATATAAATTTATATATTTTTAAATTAATATTTATTATAACAAGTTTAAATATAACTTACATAGTTTTTTTTTAATTTTTTTAATATTTTATATATAATATAAATTTTTTATTATAAATTTAAAAGATTGATTTTATTTTTTAATTTAAATATTTTTTACATAATTTTTATTATGTTTATCAATAAATATATTTATTAATTTAATTATATTTTGTTATAAAATAAATAAATAGTACTAATATTTTATAAATTATTATCTTTAAATAATTAATTTGTATAATATTACAATATGCATGATTATTTTTATATTTTTAAATAAAATAATATTTGAATTTTGTAATACCAAAAAAGTTATTTAAAAATTAATAATTTTTAATAAAACAAAATAATTTTAAATTACGAAGTGTCAAAATCACTAAAATCATTTAAATTTCCATAACAATCTTGAAAAAAAATACAAAACTGTAAAGTGTTATTTATTCATTTGGACCAGTTACAAAGAACTGTTGTAATTTCTGGCCCAACAAATCTAGCGTCAGTGAAATTGAACTTTTAATTCTGGTCTAGAATTTCTGGCCCAACTTACAGTGGCGGCTCATAGGTAAGGCCTAGGATTTAAAATGGAAAACTGGTCTGTTTTGTTGCAGCCTCTGTATCAGCTAGGGTTTCTCGAGCAACTAAGAAAAGGAGAGTTAAGCTTTTCACCATCCCATCACCATGAGACCCAAGGTAATTCTATAAACCCACGCACACTAAGATGATTTTCTTACTCTGGCA